TGTAGATCAGAGATAGCAATAGTAACGTCAGCTTCAGTATAGGTCTTTAGAGCTTGGCGTTGTTGAGACATTACGCGTTGTTATTACGAAGGTGAGGTACTAGGATTTCGTGGGGCGCACACTGGGGTGGGGCGCACACTGGTGATACACGTTATCTAGACGCAATTCATGGGCTGTGCTCGCAGTGCCACTTGTAACAAGGTCAGTCAAGTTGCGCCTCAGATTGCTGGTCATTCAACCGCGTGTGCGTGCAACGCAGGTTTCAGCCTCACCGATCTCAAACATCTCGAACGCAACGTTGACGCCAGTCCACTGTCCCGTTACCGAGTCTATCAGTTCATGCAGGCTCCCTGTTACATACCCGGATATATCCACTCGAGACTATTGTCTAGTCCGTTTATAGCTAGTCGACGTTTGGGACGTTAGCAATGCATCAGTTTTGTATCCTAATTTGGAAATGGCCCCCGTTTTGTGACCCTACACCCTTTGTCGGGGGCCACACGAAAGCCCACTTTGTTTTTGCCTCTAGCGTATACAAACTCAAATATTGCCAGGCTCCAGGCGGATCTTAAGGGAGTACGACGTGGTTAGTAATATACCGGTTTCTAAACCCAGCCCTCCACGTTTTTCCGACCTCCTAACGGTATCACGAACCTATCATGTCTCGTCAGGCATACCTACGGATCGCTGCGCGTCAAGCCATGGCTTCCGTTCCGTTAGCACCATTTCCATAACTGTCTTGATAGTCTTACTTAGTCGGCACACACAAGGGTCACGAAACGCTTTACGGAGCACTATCTCCCGCTGGTGGAGAACCCGGGGAACCCTAAATCTTGGAGCTTGCCCCCTATAGCCAACGCCTGGTAGCCAACGCGTTCATGTTCATTGTTTGTTCTCATCATATCGTTCTCTCGGCGCGCATCTCTACCGTCGCCATTCTCGACTTGGCGCCGACCACAATCAACTCCTATCTACAGGGAGAAGCGAGCAGGGCTAGACAATCATGTATTTACGCCCAGGATTCGTCGTGGTAATCGTCGGGGGAGTTCTGACAACAATATCAACAATCGTCGTGGGGCTCCGGTGAGTTAACGTGACAATGACAGCTGTGGCCCAAATCCTAATCAGCCGCTACTACAGATACTACTGCCGGTACTTTCTTGTCGGATCCCTCAGCGCAAGCGACCATCTCATGTTGGTCTCTCTAGTAAGTTTGTACCAGTACCAAGCTCAAGGCCAGCACTGACAAACTTTGACTAGGTCGTTGCGTGGGGAACTTTCATAATCAATTACTACCAAGATGTGACGAGCAGTGGCTACCGACCAGCGTACCTCCGTAGACCTGTAAGAGAGGAATTTCCAACCAACCCGCCTCAAGAGCCGTTCTAACGCATGCTCAGGACAAAAGGCCAGAGATCGAGGGCTACGTGCTCGGAGTACTCATCTCCTGGTGGGCCTACCGATTCGTCTACGTTATAGGACTTGGCTTCATTAAGCTCAGTATCCTCTTCTTCTACCGCTCTATCGCTGCCAACGTCACCTTTCGCCGAACCGTGTATGGCATGATGGGGTTTGTGGTGATGTACACATTTTCCGCGACCATTGCGGCAATCTTCCAGTGCCAGAATCCAGCGAGCGCTTGGTCCACGACAAACTACTTTGCGCAATTCGACCCCACCCTTAAGAGAGAGCCCGCTGTGTGCTGGGATCCAGTTCCGCTGTGGGTTTTTTCGTCGGCGTGCAACCTACTCACCGACATCCTCCTCCTGTTGATGCCCCTGCCGACGCTGCTGAGTCTCCGGATACCCATGGGCAAAAGACTAGCACTGATTGGCATATTCTCTGTGGGACTGATGGCTATTGTTGCATCTTCAGTACGCATGTGGGTCATGTATATGTGGGCTGAGTCTCCTTACAACTCTGCGCGATACGGTGCGGATCTGCTCCTGTGGGGCCAGGTTGAGACCAACAGTGGCATTATATCTGCCTCTGTACCCTTTCTTCGTCTTCTCTTCCGCAACAAGGAAAGGAAGCCACAGAAGATTTACGCGACTCCGCCAGAAGCCCAGCCCCCGACGCCGCCAAAGAACGACGAGTACAGTCCAGGCCAAGTGCCGGGTGTGGAGATGTGGCCACTTGCAAACGAGAAGGGCCTTGATAGGGGAGAGTCTGTTGGTTTCATCACGATACACGAAAGATCGACGATAGCGAGAGAGTCGAATTGGGGCCCTTTCGTCACGATACCAGAGAGCCTGAGCTCGGACGGTAAGGACAGTCCATATCTGGCACCTGCACTTTCGCCGCACAAGAAGGCGTGAGGCGAATGAGATTCTCTTTTGTTCGGTTTATATGTAAGTAATGTTTATATGTGCATGTCCGGAACGAGGTATACGTGTCTTGATAAGAGCGGAAGTAGCTGGGCTACAGGGGTGCTACGCAGGTGATGATTTTTTTCTGTATAATACGAGCGCATATCGAAAACGCAATCATGTTAAAATTTTGCTGGCATTGAAACTGATGGCGCCTTGTCTCGGCAAGGCTCGTTCCCGTGACGAAGAGGAGGGGAGTTCCAACAGAACATGTTGCACAAGAGCGGCAGCATAAGCATGGCATGGGTGTGGGTGCGGAGATGGCGCCTTGCCGATCGGGGCTAGCAACCTTACGGCGGACCGCACCCATGCACGTGCAGCATGTGTGTGTGTGTGTGCGTGTGTGCATGCACATGCCATGGCAGACGCCGATCCTCAGGCGGCCTGGGGCTAGAATCTGGAGCGCAGCAGCGGAGAGGTCACGTAGCCTATTTGCATGCGTCTACGTCGTTGTCGTCTGAAGCTTCACTGCCTGTCGTGCTCACAAGTACAAAACCCTTGTTCAACACAGCACACCATCCAACCGCCCGCTTCCCCACATGCCGGCATAAGAGCAATCACACTGAAGCCCTCCTAGCTTGCCCACCGTGGCTTCCTCACGCCGTATCAAGTGGTTCCTCGCCGCCGTCGCTCTCTTCATTGGCATCACCGCCATCCTGGCTTCGATTCGGCTCGGCGGGCGTGTACCTTCCATCCTGCAATACGTCAAATCCCCTCCCTTGCGCAATCCCCTTTACACCCAGCCCTTTCGTCCCCTCACAAACTCCACCATGGCTCCGACCCAGTACAAGACGCCGCCTCAGCTGCCCCCCAAGTTCACTGCTACCAAGCAGAGCCTGGTCGATGACGCTAAGCGATTGGTATGTCGCCCTGTTTCTTGAACACATCTTGTTGTAGTTATCGTTGCTGTTGTCGTCGTCGTCGTCGTTGCTGCCTTGGTCCCCGCAGTAGGCAATGCTTCGGATAGATGCTGACGTGCGCCTCCCCCAGATTGATAGGTCACGCAGCGTTCAAGATAGCATTGTCCGCGACGTCAAGCCCGAGAGTGCAACCTTTGCCAACACAGTCCTCCCGATTGCCCGCGATGACAACAAAATGGCCATTGAAGCGCATATTCTCGGCTTCTACAACGCCGTCTCGACCAGCAAAGAGCTACGTGACGCCTCGAGCGAGGTTGAGCAGATGCTCGACGACTTTGGCATTGAGTCGTCCATGCGTGAGGACGTCTTCAACCTCATTGATGCGGCGCTGAAGAAGGGCGAGAAACTGGACCCGGAGTCGCAGCGGTTGCTGGAGAAGGACCACAAGTCCTTCATCCGCAATGGTCTGAACTTGCCTGCGGGGCCCAAGAGGGACCGGTTCAAGGAGATCAAGCAAAGGCTGAGTCAAATCGGCATCGCCTTTCAAAAGAACCTCAATGAGGAGAATGGAGGATTGTGGTTCACACCAGATGAGCTACACGGTGTTCCTGAGGATGTTCTCTCTGGCCTCAAGAAGGGCGAGGGTGAGAACGAGGGCAAACTCTTCCTCACTTTCAAGTACCCTGACCTTTTCCCCACTCTCAAATATGCCACCAACCCAGAGACACGAATGAAGGTCTTTATCGCCAACGAGAACAAATGCAACGACAACGTGGCGCTCTTCAGGGAAGCCATCCTCCTCCGTGACGAGGGAGCCCGCCTCCTTGGCTATGACAACCATGCCCAGTTCCGGATAGAAGACAAGATGGCAAAGACTCCCAAGACGGTCAACGACTTCCTCGGGGATTTGCGCAAGAGACTCGCACCAGGCGGTAAGAAGGAGATTGAGAAGCTGATCGAGCTCAAGAAGCAAGATGCCAAAGAGAATGGACTGACTGGTCCGTTGGTTGAGGACTACTACCTCTGGGACAACAGGTATTACGACCGTCTAATGTTGGAGAAGGACTACCAGCTCGACCACCAGGTCATTGCTGAATATTTCCCTCTTTCGACGACAATCCAGGGCATGCTGAAGATTTTCGAGGAGCTCTTCGGTCTAGTTTTTGTCGAGATTGCCGGCGAGGAAGAAAGGGCTGCGCTTGCAGATGGCGGCAAGGGATCCGACATTGTTTGGCACGAGGATGTACAAATCTTCAGTGTTTGGGACGATGAAGGCGAAGGCGCTGGTTTCGTTGGTTACCTGTACCTTGATCTTTTCCCACGAGATGGCAAATACGGTCATGCAGCCAACTTCAACCTGCAGCCTGGCTATATTGACGAAAACGGCAAGCGACGCTACCCCGCCACTGCCCTCGTCTGCAACTTCTCCAAACCTACGCAGAAGAAGCCTTCGCTACTAAAACATGATGAAGTTGTCACTCTCTTCCACGAGCTTGGACACGGCATTCACGACTTGGTATCTCGCACAACCTACTCTCGCTTCCACGGCACCAACACTGTCCGTGACTTTGTCGAGGCTCCATCCCAGATGTTGGAGAACTGGTGCTGGACGCCCTCGCAGCTGCGTCCGCTATCACACCACTACTCGTATCTCTCTCCCGAGTACGAGAAGGCGTATCTGGAATCATCCGGTAAGGACGCAAAGCCTTCGGAGCAGATTCCTCAATCGCTCATTGCCAACCTCATCTCTACCAAGCATGTCAATGACGCTCTCTTCAACTTGAGGCAGTTGCACTTTGGTACTTTTGACATGGCTGTCCATGAACCTGCCAGCCACGAAGAGCTTGAGAGGATAGACATTACTGAAAAGTACAACAAATTGAGATATGAGATCAGTCAACTCAAGGGACCTGAGTCTCTGGAGGGTGATAAGAAGGGTGACTGGCACTGGGGTAATGGAGAGGCTACCTTTGGTCACTTGATTGGTGGCTACGACGCTGGGTAAGTTTTTGCAAACTATATTGGAGAACAAGACATGCTAACAGCTATAGATACTATGGATACCTCTCCTCTCAAGTATACTCTACGGACATGTTCTACACCGTATTCAAGTCCGACCCCATGAACCCCAAGGAAGGTCGTCGTTACCGCCACACGGTTCTTGAACGCGGTGGCTCAAAGGAGGAGATGGAAATCCTCGAGGAGTTCCTCGGCCGCAAACCTCAAACAGAGGCTTTCTACAAGGAGTTGGGCATCTCGCAGTAAAAAAGTGTGCTTGTTGCCATGGAAGATCTTAGCAAGCTAAATGCAAGACCTGTAGAGTAAAGAATTATGATAAATAAATAAGATTTAAGCCCCCGAGGTTTCTGTCCTCGGACAAGAAAGGATATGATCACCTTGTTCTTTGGTATCGTACATGTTGCCAGTAGATCAGGTTGTGTTACGTTGCCTTAACAGAGCGAAATCGCCACCCACAATCAGGCCTTTGTTCAACTATTCCGAATCAACCTGAAACGCTGTCAAACCTTAGTATCGTCAAAAGCTCTACATCTCAGCTACTTCTCTTTTCCCCCACTGTTCTTTTTTTGTTTTCTTCTTCTTCTTCTTTTTTCTTTCTCACCGCACAGATGGAAAACACGAGATTCTCCTTACTTACAATCTTGCTAGCGATTTGGAAAATGTAAAAAACAAAAATAGTAACCAACAGTAGTTACGCAACAAGTTTTTATTGTATTTTATTTTATTTTCATCTATTTATTTATTTATTTTCGTCCCCGTTGTTTTAGTTTCTGGGAATTTTTTCTGCCCCCCTTGGTGAGTTATGTTGATTGTTGTTGATTGTTTTTTTTTGGGGGGGGGGGGGGGGCACGGAAAGAAAAAGTAAGTGAAAGGTCGGAGTGGATTGGATTCAGTACAAGGTGAGCATACCCTACTTACTTGTCTGGTGGAACTGAATCCTTTGCTTACACTCAGGGGAATGAGGCGAGTTTGTAATTCATGATGGGAAGCGTCGACTAGACATAGTTGAAGTACCGGGGAATCATATGGTACTTGAGAAGCAGCACACAACATGTTTAAACGAGACTATAACAAAAAGCCAAAGGGGAAAACTTGTTTATCAAATCAATTTTTTTGGCAATGAATTTATACATATCCCTAGGTGGCTTCATAACCAAAAAAAAGCCATCTGGAATCTCCACAACTATTCACTGAATCCCCTCATTCATATCCAAACTTTTCATCCATCCAAACCTACAAGCTGAACCAAACACTCACAGCCCCCGCAACCAACCCCCAAACCGCAGCAACAGCACCGCGGCGCGACTCCGCGGCACCACCGTCAAACTGCGGCATACCAACGCCAGCCCCAAAGTTATGTTCCCAAGCCTTGGTAAGCGCAACAGGGCCCTGCACGCTCTGCGAAGTACCCAGGATAGTAATGTTCTGGATAACAAGCTCAGTCTGGAATCCAAAGTCACCGCTCATGCTGAACGCGCCGTTGTTAAAGGAGAAGGTGATGAGCGAAGTAGACTTTTGCTCGAGGGAATCTCCATCATCGAGGTAGAGCGAGCCAGAGGCCTGGTTGGTAGCATTTGGCGCGATCCAGAGGACAAAGTTTTGCTTGCGGAGCTCCGTGGTTGTGTTTGCGGATTCGGCGCGGAGGGGGAGGATGGAGCCACCCTTGACGTGGAGGGGAATAGTGTCGAAACCTACGTCGGTGAGGTTGATGTTCTCGCCGTTTCCTTGGATGCGCTCGCCGGTCCAGTAGTCGTAGAAGACGTCCTTGGGGAGGTAGATGGAAACGGAGGTCGAGTTCTCTTCGAGGACGGGGGAGACAAGGATGCTGTCGCCGTAGAAGAATTGGTGCTCGATGCCGAAGGTTTTGGCGTCAGTGGGGTAGTGGAAGAAGAGGGGGTTCAAGCTGGGAAGGCCGGTGGTGGTCTGGCGGTGGAAGGCCGTGTAGAAGTAATCCAAGAGCCTGTACCTGACTGCGATGGCGTTCTTGGCTGCGGCCCTGGTGAGAGGCCAGCGGTAGTATTCTTGGCTGATCGAAGTGTCGCCGGCGTGGTTCCTCATGAAGGGATAGAAAGCACCGAGAGTAGTCCAGCGGGCACAGAGAGTCTCGGTCGTGTTTCCGGCGAAGCCGCAAATATCGGGACCGACCATGGGGATCTGGAAAATGGTGTTGAAGTTCAAGATGCCGGCAATTGAGAAGCGGTATTGAGCCCACTCGGAGACGTTGTCACCAAGCCACTTTCCGAGGTAGGAACCGAGGCCAGGGAACTATTCACAAATCAGCATTCTGGAATCCAGTTGGGAGATATATCAAACTTACAGATGACCTGGTGATAATGAATGGGCGTCTTTCGGGACGGCGAGCTTGCATAGACTTGTGAGAAGTAATGCTCATCATCGAGCCCCAGAAGTTGTGCGTATCGTAGTGATAAGAACCATCGTAATTCTTGATATCCGTAGCCAGGGTCCTGTTGCTAATTGAACCGGCTTCGTTGTGGATCTGATATTTAGGGTTGATCAGATCACGACCGGGAAGACCGAGGTGCTTAGCATCTCCAGCGTTGTTGGACGCTTGGCGCTTGGAGGGACGCATGCTGGATGGGCCCTTCACGACAGAACGCCTTACAGTGCTAGAGTTAGACTGCGGCTGGAAACCTGCTGGGAAGCCAGGGATTTGGCGACCTGCAGAAGTGCGCACAGCCGGTGGCTCAGGTGGGTTCTTGGACTCCACAGAGTAGGCTGTTCAATTGTTAGTATGCCAATCTAGTCAATGGAAGACGAAACTTACCTTCAGGGTCTAAGCAGGGGTATGGGCAGAAGTTAGCGGGCTCATTCATGTCATTCCAAAGTCCATCAATATCAACACCAGTAGCGGGGTCGAAGAAGCGAGCGAATTCCTCATCCCAGTATTTCTGGGTGTTGGGGTGGAACCAATCTGGGAAAACAGTAGGACCTGGCCAGACAGCGCCTTGTTCGAAGGAGCCGTTGCTCTTCTTTTGGAAGACCTCAAGTTTTGCGCCGTTGTTGTAGGCATCATAGTCACCGCTCCAGACAGCGGAGTTGACCATGAGAATGTAGTGCTGTTGGTGAGCATGCAAATAGTCAACAAGCTGGCGAACAAGCTCGAGCGGGTAACGCTCAGGATCCAGGGTGAACAAGCGGCGAAGCTCCATGTAGTCGATATCGGTCCACATGGTCTAAAAGAGTTAGCACAAAAATCTGTTGTTTTAGACTATAGAATCTCACCTCAAGCGGAATATCGGCAGCAGAATAATTTGCCACAACTTCAGCAACCTCCCAAACATCACGGTATCCGTACTTGCACTGGTGCGAGCCGAAACCCCAGTAAGGCATCATAGCAGGCAGACCAGAAAGGGCCGAGTATTGAGTGGCAACTTCCTTAGGGCCGGGTCCAGCCAGGAAGTAGAAATCAAGAATACCACCGAGAGTGTTGTACTCAAGAAACTGACCGTCAGTATCGTCAATCTTGATGTCCATACCCTCGGAGCTAGCCAAGAAAACACCGTGAGTACCATTTTCACCGCGGTGATCAAAGTAGATCGGGTGAGCTCCATAGAGATTGGATCCTGGTGGCGTGCCATAGGCATCCCGATTCCAAAGCTGACTTGAATCAATACAATGTTCGTAGTAGCAGAGAAGCAGAGACTTACAGTTCGCGTATAGTTGGTGGTGTTGAGATGGAAAGCATCCGTCGATTCACCGAGACCGTACAGATGTGGCAAAGGCGGCAGAGCAGTCCTCAAACGAAGGTACTGCGTCTCGAAAACAAGAGAAGCTGCTGAAGTATCGAAGAGCGTCTCATTGGTGGCCCTACGTTTGATGGCAAAAGAAAACGGGCTATCGGTCCAAGTGAAGGCCAAAGCCGACTTTTCAGGGTCGGTGCCCTCATCATCAGAAGGGCGAGGCCAGACAGATTCCTGGATTTGGAAGACTTGTTCAGCAGCGTCGTAGATCTTAACGTGAAGGCGGTCCTCTATTGGCGGGATTTAGTATATTACCAATGGGTCAAAATGGCTTTATCACGGACCAGTCTGATACTCGACCTCAAGCTTGAGGTCAGTGAGATCATCGCCGTAAGCATTGCAAGCAGTACCGGCAAGGGTAAGATCGGCAGTAACCCGGGAACCGTCGTTCTGGACGTTACTGACTGCGTAGCCAGGGCAGTCGTCGAGAGGCGTGCTTTGACGTTGGACAAGGGAGCCTGCAAGGGCAGGAATTGCCGATCCGAGGGCAAGAAGCCCTTTGGTTATCATGGTGCCTGATGGTATTGAGAAAGACAGAGACCGGAGTGGATGCTGATCTATTGAGGATGCCAGGCGCCTCTTATACTCGAGGCAGTGCCATAGCTTCTACTAGTCAAAGTATACGGCAGCAATACAAGTATTGTGATCTCGGTTAAACAGCCTCGTATGTATGGCTACAGCCGCTCGAGATGCAACCAAGACACGCTTCCCCGCAATACCGTCATGGTTAGGGTGTTAGGATGGCGGGCTTGGCAACTATGCCATTGCCAAAGAAGCAACATGCCGGCGTGGAAAGGCTGGGTGACGCGCGCTAGAGCAGCTTGTTTACCCGGAAAGGATACCGTTTAGGGCTCAAATGTGTAATGATATGCATGAGGCTGTGGATTCCGGGGTAAGGACGGAGAAGATTAGATCGTCTAGGTCGAGGTCAAGTGGCACGCGAAAAGTGGGCGTTGATGGAACAATCCGGTTGGACGCATCTCGGCCCGCCTGCGCAGCGATTGGCTGTCTGTCGGACCGGGGTTGGTGTAGAGTATCCGGTGCCGACATGCCTCGTTACAAAAACACGGCAAACGGGTCGGATGCAGTACGGGAGAAGCATCTGATATTTTGAAGGAATTTGCTTTATCACCAACTTACTTTTCCTTGAGTCTGGGCAGATGCAGCATGTGATTGATGGTAGCTGAGCGGCTACACGTCTTGGCCTGATGTACCCCAAGAACTGAGTTGGACAAGGTGTGAGCGTCTCAATTCCAAGAAGAAAAAGCATGCTCAAACTGTTGTTTAGGGCTCTTTTGCACTGTATGCTGTCAGTATGTATGTGCCCTGATTCAACACACATCCGAGGTTGCTATGCTTTTGGCATAGTCTCTCGGACTTGAATAGTTGATTTTGCTCCAATCTGAATTCGCTTGGTTCATTTCTGTGCATACAGTAGCATTTTTGAACATGGATTTCAACAATCAACAAGTACAAGTTCGATATGAGATGAGATGAAGAGAATACATAGATAGTGGTGATGGTCTGCAGAGGACTCGCACGGTCCACATTGCTAGGTACCAACCAACTAGCGCGCGCATCCTATCATGGGAAAAGTTCAAACGCGACCCAGTCTCCAGCCTCAATATCACAAACACCAACAACACGTCAACATGCTCTGTGCAATCTCCGGAGAAGCTCCCCGCGAGCCTGTCGCCTCGCGCAAGTCGGGCAACGTCTTCGAGAAGCGTCTGATTGAAGCGCACATCGCAGAACATCACACCGACCCGGTTACGGGAGAAGACCTAGCGACCGAGGACCTTATCGAGCTCAAGTCGCCCAATGTCGTGACCCCACGCGCACCAAACTTCACTTCGATACCTGCCATGCTCAGTGCCTTCCAAAACGAATGGGACGCCCTGGTACTAGAGACACACACGCTCAAGCAGCACCTGGCGCAAACGAGGCAAGAGCTGAGCACCGCCCTGTACCAGAACGACGCCGCCACACGGGTAATTGCACGGATAACAAAAGAGCGGGACGAAGCGCGCGAGGCTCTGTCAAATGTCACCATTAGCGGAGGCGCCCAGGGCGATGCTATGCAAGTCGATAACCAGAGCCTGCCTCAGGATCTGGTCAAGGTGGTTGACGACACACAGCAAGAGTAGGTACCGAGTACGCGACCTAGACAACATATACTAACAGGACACAGATTGTTTGGTTCACGCCGAAAACGAGCTGTACCAGAAGGCTGGGCCACTGGTGAAGTTATCACCAACTACGACCTGGTCAAGACAACAGAGGCTATATACCCAGGTAGCAGCAACATTGCCGTACAAGAAGACGGTCTGGTCTTATTTGGTGGATCGGATGGGACAGCTGGCATCTATGCGTTGGCCGAGGGCAAGGTTACACAGACCTTCAACGCTGGTAGCGCCATCACAGCAGCAGCCTGGTGCGGAGGCCGTGCGGTTGTTGGAACTTCAGCTGGTGTAGCCAAGATTTTCGAGCAGGGCAACGAGGTTGCCCAAGTAGGATCGCACGCTGGAGCTGTTACGTCCATTTCCGTCCACCCCAGTGGAAAGATACTCGCAACAGCGGGTGCAGACAAGCACTATGCTGTCCACGAGCTTACTTCTTTCAAGACCGTGTCCCAGGTTTACGTCGAAGCAGAAATCACCTGCGTTGCCTTCCACGTTGATGGTATGCTCTTCTTTGTCGGTAGCTCTGATGGCAACATCCGCATCTACGATATCAAGACTGGCGCTGCTATGGCTCAGCTAGAAACAGGTGCCCCGATTGTGGACCTCAAGTTCGCTGAGAATGGTACTTGGTTCGCTGTTGCGCAGCAAGGCTCTACCAGCGTCTCTGTCTGGGATATCCGGAAGCAAACAGTCATCTACACACTCGAGTCCGGAAGCCCGGTCACATGCTGTGAATGGGATTACAGCGGCATGTTTCTGGCGATTGGTGGCACTGGTAGCGTATCGGTGCAGCAGTTCACAAAGGCAACCAAGAGCTGGGCCGAACTTGTGAGGAAGGCACTACCAGTCAAGGATGTTGCGTGGAGTGGAAAGGCCGAGAGTGTGGTAGCTCTGACACCAGAGGGTGGTCTGGCGGTATTGGCTGCTCCTTAGGCTAGGACGCAGTACTGATTGAACTTGTAATACTATAAGCTCACAAATAACTGGAGCGCTGTTTTTTTTGGAAACACTTGTTGGTTTAGAGCAGCAAGTGCAAGTGACGAAAAGCCGAGGAATCATGAGCAAATGGCAGAGACCTTTGGGTTGGACTACTTCAGAAGGTTGTGGAAGAGTGCAGTTTGGCTTAGAATGGTTGAAGCATCAACCAAAATGGCCAGCTTCGGGGCGACCATGTCCCTGGTCGAAAAAAAAACAACGTTCAAGGCGCAAACTGGGTTGTAGCGATAATGCAAAATATGAGGTGTGCTTGCCTCAGCTTAGCAATCAAAAAATCATTCCGGGGTGTTGCTGACTACGAGTATGAGTCCTACTACGTCACGTTTCTTTCGAATGAATGCTGGTGGGCACAGGCAGCGTGAATTGAACGTTGCGATGGTTATTAAATGTGGTAAGATGAATGGCAGGTGGAGGAGCCTGGTGGAGGGATTGTCTTTGTTTTTTTTGTCCAATCTCGATCTGGGGCGGTAATGAGAGTGAGGGTGAGAGACGGGGGGTGACGTTTGTTATGTCGGGTCGCTCCCGAAGCGCCATGCAATGGTTGCCACCAGGGACAACGAGTTTCGCCGACGTTAGCACACCAGCGCTACGACACGACGGCCCGCCCAACTCGACGCCGTCCGCTCTCTGCTGGTTGCTCTTCTCGCCAGGTACCCCGCCCACTCACGACTCCCTAAGCCACACCATATAGCCCGTCGCCGGCATGGAAGGGGAAGAGCTGCCGTTCGGGTACACGCACAGACGAGAGAAGGTGAGTGCCGGCCCAACGGGCGAAGCTTGCGGCGGCCGAGCACAGCGACGCTAACAAAGACTCGGTTCAGCGCTCGCATGAACAAATGGACGACGACGATGATGAGGGCTCGGCCTCACCTTCGTGGAGATACAACCCCTTCCCGGACATCCACCCTCACCAGACTCAGCCGCGCTACCACCCCTCGGGCCTCCCGCTCATCGACCACCACCTCCCACGCCCCGCCTACTATGACCACTCTCAAGACCCCGGCCATAATAACTACGAGGACCCACACACCCGCCACCATCACCTCCAGCAACCTAGAAGAGCGCCTGCCTTTGAGTCCGCCTTGCGCGCAGCCAGACCTCCTATAGAACGCGCCTCATCGTCCACCGCCACGCAATCACGCCCTGCGGGACTCCAACTCCCCAGGATGGAAAACATGGCTTCTTCGGCTTCAGTACGCTTCCCTGGAGACGGCTTCGACTACCGACGGCCAGCTGGATCGTCTAGGGAACCTGATATTGGATCTGTTGACCTAACAGGGGAAGAGGAAGATGTGGGCCCGGACTTGAGCCTGCTTGCCCAAGACGACGACAACGGTGACCACGATGATGACGATGACGACGACGACGTTATCATCGACCTCACCGCCGACGAATCTGGGTATGGGGCTAGTCAGGATGGCAACAGCGGCCGGCAACGACACGATCACGCTGAGCAGCAAGACTCGAACCGTGCTCGTGCAAATGGAGGACCCCGCTTACCGCGGGGCATGGACATCATAATCGACCTTGACAATGGTGAAGAAGAGTGGAGAATGGCCACACCAGCTCCTGAACCAAGTTCCCCTGACATTGAATTCATTTCTTCCCGGACAATCAATCCCAGACGCCTACCGCCACCAAATCTTGCTGGCAACAATTCCGACGGGGACGAGGTTGAGTTTTTACGAGAAAATGCTCTGCCAGAGGCCGAAATTCGACGTCGCAGGACTCGGGAGCTCGACAATGTCTTGGATCTTTTCGGTACGCTCAACGGTCGCTTCACACATCTTCGGGCTCAAGTCGATCGTTTCAATGCCCAGATCAACCGCACCGCGGGCCGCTTCCATGAGCCTGTTGCTCCCCACCGGAATCCAAACCGAGGCCATGCACATATCCGTTTGGGTTTCATTACACCCGTCATGGACTTTGAGAACACTGGCTTCAACTATGGGCAGGCAACACGCGAAGCACCAGCACCTCCACCTACCTACGAGGCGCCACCTCAAGCACCCGAGGGCTTCACAAGGAGCCCGGAAGAGGAAGGTGCGCTCATCTGTCCAAATTGCGAGGAAGAGCTATGTGTGGGTAGTGATGAGATTAAAAGACAGGTGTGGATCGTCAAAGGCTGTGGTCATGTAAGTCAAGTTTTTACTTATGCTGGGGCTTGCAACTGACAAAAATAGGTCTACTGTGGAGAATGCACCACGAATCGTGCTGCTAAACGTACGGCGAAGGGCAAAGAAAGGCCAGTCAGCACTAACCCGTTCAAGACCTGTGTCGTTGAAGGCTGCGACAAGAATGTATCAAACAAGAAAAGCATGATCCAGGTCTTCCTTTGATGGTCTGAGACTCTGAACCATGAGAGCTGTACCTGTCGACAGCGTCCTCGTTTATTTTCCTTTTTCGGGAGGTCTCAATTTCGGCTAAGTTATACTTGGGATGTTCAACGATACCCAGGCTTGCATTCCTAATCTCGGTTTTCTTTGCATCCTACAAATCTATCTAGGCTATTCTACTGCGGCGTTTCTGTCATTTGCCGCATTGCATACTTGGGCGTTAAGGGGTTTAGCATTTTTTCTATCAATGCCGTAGTCAGCTCGATGAGTCTAGCTCTTTCTCTCTTTGTAAGATCTGAATGTCACGTGGAATATAGGAACTCGTACATCGTAATTATTTTTGTGCTGTTCGTCACACCTAAAATCATTCGATGATAAATCACTCGAATACCAAAGTTAAAGGGATAGAGCTGTATGTAAAAAACGTGCCATGATCTCATCGCACATGATGTCCCGGCACCGGCCACGCCAAGCGAGCAGGGGTTCGCCAGGAACGCAAGCCGAGGCCTTTTGTCGAAATGTTGTAGCTCAGAGTGCTAGGCACACGTAGACTGTTTGCAGCCAACGCCCATTTTCTTTTAAACCCGTCGGTTCTTTTCTCCTTTCTCACTCAAGAGAAACTACTACAACAAGACCATAATGCCGTCCAAAACTACCGCAGGGCAAGCCGCTGCGCCAAACGATCAAAGGCCTGCGAAGCAATCGGGAGCGAAGAACGCCTATCTCCTGACTTACAATGCCGTATCTGCTGTACTGTGGGCAGGCGTTCTTTACCAGACCGCTACCATCGGAGTCAATGAAGTATTGAATGCACACAAGGCGGTTGCGTTCTTCGGCAATGGTGACTGGCCCACTGCGATACAAAGAGGGCTATCGAGTGCAAAAGTATACGACAACCTCGAATACTACACAAGGGCTGTCCAGAGTCTGGCAGGACTGGAGGTGCTTCACAGTCTGGTTGGTATGTTGATAAACAGAGGAATTGGATCGGAGTACCAATGGCTAACGTGTAGATTAGGCATCGTCAGGGCACCCCTCTTGACTACGCTGATGCAGGTTGCCTCACGCTTTCTACTCGTCCACCTCATTGCCTCGCCCTACGCTTTCCCTTTCTCAACGCGCCATTCGCCGGCCTATACCACCATGCTACTCGCCTGGTCCGTCACAGAAGTCATCCGTTACTCATACTTTGTCTTCACTCTATCGGGGGCCGGAGTACCGAAGCTCTGGACATGGCTGAGATACAACACTTTCCTCGTACTCTACCCGCTCGGCATCTCCTCCGAATGTTGGTTGGTGTACCAAGCCATCCCGCTCGCAAGCCAGAGGAATGAATTGTTTGGGTACGCGCTTTGGGCTATCCTGGCTATCTATGTTCCCGGCTCGTACATCTTGTTCTCTCATATGTTGGCGCAGAGGAGGAAGATTGCTAGGCAGAGCAGGAAAGCCTGAGAGACCTATTTAGCAAGGGCTTGAGAAAGCTGAATATTTTCGTCGATGCATGAAGTTCACTAGAGATTTCGAGAGAGAATGCTGGAAACCATGTGTATATGGATATCTTACATATCACCAAATAATACGAATACCATAGCTTTATTCCTTTCCGCCTTCCTTGGGTCCTGTCTGCGCATTTCTCTCCCCAACATCCAGCGCAACAAGGAAACGACTAACGCAGTTGTACGCTGCGATTGTGGCTGTTATCTCAACAACCTCGCGCTCACTGAATGATTTTTTAAGTTCCGCAAATACAGCGTCAGGAACTTGGACATCCAGCGTCATGGCGTCTGTGTACGCTAGTAGTATGGAGAGAGAAGGACCTAGGATATCTACCAAGGGTGAGCGAGGTGGAGATTTCAGGACTGCTTCCACTTGTTGTGGGGTGACGTCTGGGGCAATTAGTCTTATGAACAGTGTGTATGGTAATTTGAGGAAAAGCAAGTACCTGATGCAGACGAGAGAATAGGAGAATGCGATTCCCACTCATACCATGCTCGGTTGAGAACTGCGACGCGACAGATTGCCGTTTCACGGATCGAAGTGAGGAGACTGGTCTTTGTACGGATGGAGCCTAGGAATGAGTTCCTGACACACAATTAACACTTGCGGGCAAGTAAGAATAACTGAACAGATAGCATATTACTTACCATCCATCAGCCACTGGCGGAGAGTGCAACAACGTCCGATCCAACGCTATCAACCCTTTCTCACCCCGCCTCTCACGCACCCGCTGCTCCACCGCCTTATCCGCTTCCGACGTGAAGTTTGGGGGGTCGGGCACATATGGGAGACGCATATTGGTAGATCTGTAACAATTGAGGAAAATGGTAAGTTACCTGCTTCACTTCTTTTCAGATCTTAAGAGTAGAGACACTCGTGACTCAGACACCCCATACGAACCGTCGCATCGACCTCGGGTCGGGTTAGTACGTATCGCACTCGGAACCGTTCCGAAGTGGAGATTCGTACCGTCAGCAGCGGACGAATCAAACCCATCTTTCGCTTAAAGTAGAATTATTTATCGATAAAGAAGGACCTTTCTGTATCTTGCCATCTGCCTTTCGCCTACCCTCCCATCTCTTGGACTGGTAATTTACGGGGGCTTTTTTTTGGACTATTGTTACTATTATTATTTTGGGAACAAATGGCCCCAAATTCAAAATTAAACGCAAAGCGCAAGGCGCAAAGGGAAGCCACCAAGGCTCCTAAACCGCGATCCGAACGGCGTTCGGGGGAAGAAGGAGGGAAAAGCGAGACGAAGACGTTGATCCCGATTGAACTCCAGCAGCTTTTGTTGAATATATTCCGGAATTCGTTTGCGGAGCGGCTGAGTGTCGATTTTGGGCCGCTCTTGCAGGAAGTCAAGGGACATCTGTTTAATCGGGATTTTGCGGCGGCGTTTGGTAAAGAGGAGTATCTCGAGATGTATGCTGCGAGGTGGAGTCCGAGTCGCGCATTGGGGTATTTGGATTTGTTTTGGGATTTGAAAGGAGACCTAGGGTTTGATGTTGAGGAAGATGGGCCTGGTACCGACGGATCTGACAGTGTTAAGAGTCGGAAAGTTGTGTGCTTGGGTGGTGGAGCGGGAGCGGAAATTGTTGCTCTAGGGGGATTGCAGAAATTACTTTCAAGCAGGGTGGTGGAAGAAAAAGAGGGGGAAGACGAGAAGGTGGTGAACGCGGGAAAAATGGAGGTTACGGCTATTGATATTGCGGATTGGAACGTAGTAGTGGAGAACCTGGCAAAACACCTTACGACCGCACCGACACTTTCAAAGTACGCATCAGCTGCTGCAAAGGCAGCAAATACGCCCTTCCTGGATCCAGCGCAAATATTGGTCACATTTCACCAACAGGACGTTCTCAAGGCATCCACATTGGATATGACGTCGCAGTTAGCAGACGCAAACCTAGTCACTCTGCTCTTTACTCTCAACGAACTATACTCCACATCCCTCCCTCTAACACAGAAATTCCTCCTCCATCTCACTTCAATAATGAAGCCCGGATCCCTACTTCTAGTTATCGACAGCCCCGGAAGCTACTCTACCGTTACGCTCAACGGAACAGAGAAGAAGTACCCCATGCAATGGCTTCTCGACCACACGCTCCTGGACCAAGCCAGTAGCAATAAGAACGAGAGAGGTAAAGAAGAAATAGCAAGTTGGGAGAAGGTAAAAGAAGACGATAGCCGATGGTTCAGGTTGGATGATAGGCTGCGTTATCCGATTGAGCTTGAGAATATGCGGATGCAGATGCATCTGTATCGACGACTATAGTCAAGTATCGAAGCTTATTGGTATTCCATGCGTTGTAACGCACTCTACTAATACTGTAAAATCCCCAATCCTAAATCTGGGCAGTTATTTCGACACTTAACCAGCGTCAAGAACTAAGTGGAAAGCCGATAAACAAAGGAAAAGGGCAGTTCCCTGGAGGACCAGCCCCCACAAAACAGTAAAAAACGCGACATCATCTCAAAATAAATTAACGCGAAATCGCCCTCGCAGGCATAAATAAGTCTTCTTTTAGGCGCTTCACACCCCTTCAAACTCGAAAAAACCCCAATCTCAAGAGAGAAAAAAAACCCCTCCCCGCCGCGAACTTCCCTCTACTTCTCCCCACCATGCACCTCAGTACAACTCCACGCCCTCTCCCTCTCCCTCCCACCTCCATACACCTCCTCAGGCCTCCGCACCCTCTCGTCCGCCCGCTCCATCCTCACACTCGACCGCGACAACTCCTTGGTAACCAGAATGCTTTTCAGACTGTGGTCTTCCTGCACGCTCCGCAGGCTAATGCTGCTGCTACTGGGGCTCTTGGGGGTTTCGCGGAGTCGCGACTTTTCGTAGCGGCGCAGGCAGACGGCGATGAGGGGGACGGTTAGGATAAGGATGACGATGGCTATGACGATGCCGATGATGGCGCCAGGACTGAAGCCGTCGCTACGGGACGAGGTGTTTGGGGATAGGGCTGGTGGGGCGTCGGGGATGTTGGAGGTATTTGGTGCGGGTGCCATGATGTATATGTATGCGTGTATGTGTTTCGGTTGGTTGTTGGTTGTTGATAGATTGATCAGTGTTGATTGCTTGATAGCAGTAGGGTACGCAGTGTGGCGGTAATGATCAACAAGCCGTTGGTATCCGTGTAATTCATGTAATTGAGTGACGTGACGTGATTTGATGTGATTTGATATAAAGTTTTCCTCGGTAAAGACTGCGTTTACTTTTCGTCTTTCCCAGTTGCCAGCGAGAGAGCGAGAATGCGAGAGTGGGAAAACGGCCTGGGTTTCAGAAAAGACAGTTGCGCACCAACGTGCAATCAGGAACACAGCGATAACAACGACGCGAGATAATCCCAAGCTGCAAAGCAAGCAGACTAGAGAAAAAAAAAGGTTTAAAAGAAAGGAAGAAAGAAATCAGAGTTACCACCAGGAAACTCAAATAGTGGGATCACGAGGGGGGGAACGCCGCCCATCTTTCCTTTAAAGAACCAAACAAGCCCCCATGAACCGCATTCCAGAACTTCCCTCCTTCACACACCGCGACGACTCCCGTTGAGTGGTGGCCTGGCAAAGGAAAAAAGGATTTAACCCACACCCCAGCATAACTAACCTTCAGCTCCCATCCATACACAGCGTCCCACGCCGCTAGCGCCCCCAAACGCACATGCGTTGCGGCACGAGGAGTGGTCGCTCGCCAAAGTTAGTGGCGTTTACAGGTGGCGAATCAGCGGGGTCCATGTACACTTTGACGCAAGGCGACCTTTTGCGCAAGGAGCTTAAATATGCGCGCAAATGGCGGGCCAGCGAAGCAAGAATGGGTACCTGTGGATGGCCACGCGCCAGGTGGTCAGCAAATGGGGGCTGACTCGGTCTTGGCCGAGGTGAAGGATAAGGAAAAGGACCATTTTTGGAAGGAAGGGCGTGGGAGTGTGCGATAGGACAGCGCAGAGGTGCATGGGAGGAAGTAAGGTTGGACGGGCTATGGTTACAATGGGGGAGGTTTGTTAGCCAAGGAGCCCGGTTTTATTGATTGTAGCTGGAGGTTCTGGGCGGGGGACTTTGTTACCCCTCATTTTTTTTGCGTGGGAGCGACGGTTAGGTGTTTTTGGAATTCCGAGGTTATATCATATTTATTTTTAAAATAGTGTTTAAAGCTGTTTCTACTATTTTCACTACTATGACGCATTGTTGGCTGAATGGATTTAAACTTTGTGTTGGGCATGGTTGGTCCTGGATGTTTCAGCGGTACTAAAGACATCCGAGATGGATGTAGTTCGGGCCTGGTTTGGTCGGCGGTTTTGTTCGTTGGTGTAGTAGTTCCTGGGCTGAGGTGAATGATTGGATGAGAGCATAAACCGAGTTGCATCGGTAGTTATCGTGTATGTAGAACGTAGCTGAGAGTAGGGAAAATCGCAAACCCCTTTGACGTTCGAGGGATTGATTTGCTCCAATTCATAATGTCCAGCAAACTTTCTACGTACATGCCATGGACGGGAATGAGAAAATCGCGCTTCACTGCTTTTTCGATAGTTTCTATCTCAAGTGTAGTCGAATAACCGATACGTAGTCTTTCCGCTCTCCTCACACTGGTCTCACGAGCATTCCAATTGTATAGGCATATAGAAACGTATGGTCCAACCTTTACTAAATGCCTTGCCTATGAAACCTTCAAGAGTGATTGGAATAATTTTGACGTGCGGGAACGACCGTACTTGCCAAGACTCGGGTTCGGGAGGTTTATTTCAAGGATCTGGATAAGATCGAGATGAATTGTGGATACGATGGCACGAGCGTGTGGAGCAGTGACCTTAGAAAACGTTATTCGACAGGCACAAGGCGTATCCAAAACGATTTCAACAATCCACGTGAGGGAACTGTCAAGGTCGTTCGCATCTATTACTGGTTCTTGGTCTTCATGTACTTGGGCCAATCAACAGTCAAAGAATCACCCAAGAGCAGCAGAGAATCTATGCCTAGCGACTAGTGGCGTTTCGACAATACACATCACCCGCATCGCTAAAACTGAATCTTACAGCACTAGACAGACATTACATATTCTCATTAGGAATATTCCTACGACAGATTTCATACCCATTAGTAAGCGTAAAACACATTAACCCCATCCCTTCGTAGCCGCTTATTCGTGACTTGAAGCCAGATCCTCAATCCCCAAGCAGACGCAATGCATGCCGCTGAAAACGCCGCATTACTACTCATCGCAATGATGTACTTGGGACCATCGCTCTCAGGGTACAAATAAGGCGTGTAGATGAAACTTGCCATCGAGACAACATTGACAATCGACAGCGAAACGGCTTTCTTTTCGGTAGTCTGGCCAAGTGTGCCGGACACCCAGCCTAGAATGACAGAATTGACGGAGTAGACACCTGTTTGAAGATGTTAGCAAAAGGTAACTGCTATAGTGGCTGTGTGTGTGTTGGGGGTACGAACCAGATGCAAAGAGAAAGCACGACACGTAGCGTGCGGCAACGTTGAGAGTAGAAGCGCTGATTGCGAAACCAACGACGGCGAGCCCCATCATGGCGGTGATGTGCCATGTTCTATCGTTGTATTTTCCAGATGAAATGCCAATGCAGATACCGACAACACCCGCAACAAGGGATGGTGGAGCTGTCAAAACCAGGGTGATCGTCCTGCTGAAGCCTAGAGATTTGACGACCGTAGGGAAGAACTAGTCACCATCAGTTAGCGACGATCTTAAGAAAAAAAACCAATTCGCATAGACATACCTGGTTGAACGAAGTGGCGCTAAGATGCATGTTCTGCATGAAAACGAGCAGATAAAGTCGAGGATCGCGAAGTGCTTGCATGAAACCCGCTCTTGATCCCTTGCTCGGCTCAAGACCAACAGTATCCCTCTGAATACGGTCGTGGGCCAACTGGCGTTGTTCAGGTGTAAGCCATTTGGTCGTCAACGGCTCATCAGGTAGCAAGAAGATGCAAATGATAGATACGCCCACGGTAACGACTCCCTCAATGATGAACAGCCACTGCCATCTGTCACAAAACCATTAGCATTTCCCTTGGCCTCTTCCTGTATAGAGGGTAGTCCACTCACCCATGCATGCCATGCTTATCACTCAACGTCGCAAACACGGCCGCAGCAATCAGCCCCGCAAACGACACGGCAAAAATATTCCCCGCATAAAGAATAGCCACTCTCGTCGCAATCTCTTTACGCGTATAGAACATACTGAGGATGTACAGCGCTCCGGGGTAAAACGGTGCCTCAACGAATCCGAGGAAAAAGCGCACAAGCACAAGGCCAGTGTAGTTCTTGACCAGCGAGGTGAGGGCAGCCACGCAGCCCCAGACGGTGCAGCAAATAGCCATGTAGAGCGAGGGCCGCACTTTGCGTGACGACATGAGCATGTTGCTGGGGATCTGGGCGAAGAGGTAGCCGACGTAGAGGATGGAGATGCATGTGTTGTATTGGGTGCCACGGAGACCCAGGTCTTTCTCTAGACCATCGAGACGTGCGTTTGCGATGGCGTTTTGGTCAAGTTTGTTTCTTTAGAGTTGTTAGTTTTTTTTAATTATCGATGGGGAAGGTAAGATAGAGGCAAAGGGGTTCCGTACAGAAAGTACATGGCGAAAAGCGCTGGCATCACACGCATGTCGAGCTTGCGCACCAGCGCAATCTCTGCTGGGTCGCTTTTCGCGACTGCGCCGGTATAATCTGCGCCTTCAGGTGTGCCTTTCTGCGCAAGCTCTTTTTCAGATGGTTCAACATCGTCAATGTGGAGAGGTACGTCCTTCTCGGCGTCGTGATTGTAGTTGGGGCCAGCCATGATTAATTGTTGTTGTTGAAAGAAAAAAAGGTCGGTCACCAACCCATGGACTGAAACAAAAGTGAAAAGGATGCAGAACTGAAACTTTTTCTCCTCTATATATTCAGGCTGGACAAATGTTGTACAGAAAGTCCTAAGTCTAGTTCGATCCCGCACCTACCCCGGACTTTCCCCAGATCCAACGCTCTTGGTCAAAAGCGGAGTAAACATTGAGAGGCGGGGAGACAGCCGGCATTTCATGAGCCAGTCAAACTCGTTTTGAAGCGAGTTTCGTTGACTCGTAGCTACTACTTGATCTTGTGACGAAAAGAACTTGGCAAGTTAGTCGAAGAGGCGGACAAAGACAAGTCCGGTGGCACAAGCACGTGATGCGGCTTGCACTGGTGGCAAGCCTTGGCGACCCACCAAGTTTCGATCCCCGCATTGTGGCATCAGGCTAACTTCTCCAGGCGCGTACTAACATACCTCCCCGTGGGGTTAGTACGCACTTTCTCAAGTCCGCCTCTTGTTCTGCGTGAGATGTACGCTTGCTCACAGGGTCCAAACCTTGTAGCATGGTTAGAAATCCAATTAGGGTCAACATTCTGCTTTGCTATGCAACATGCTTCAGAGTGCATATAATGCAAGCTTGGATCCCGGAGTTTTCATAATCATCAAACTCACAACTCTACACTCTTACAAGCAAATCACTTCTCTCTAAATCTTAACACCACTTCCACATATCATCACAATGGGTTCAATGCCAGAGGTCAAGAAAGCTCCTCAGATTGACCTTGCGGGTCTCGTTCCAGCCCCAGTTACGCCATTCAACAGGGATGGCTCGGTCGACTATGCTGCTATCCAACGCCTAGGTTCGTGGCTCGGCAGTATTCCTGGCGTCAAGGGACTAGTAGTCCTTGGACATGCCGGCGAGGGTACTTTCCTTACTCAGGAAGAGCAAGTAGAAGTCATCAAGGCCTTTGTCAAGTCCGTCGATGACAAGATCCCCATCATTGCGGGAATCACAACCGAAGGCACAGAGGTAGCAGCCCTCGAGGCTCAACGCGCAAAGGCCGCAGGAGCCAAGGCTGGTCTCCTGTACCCCAGCCACGGCTGGCTGCGTTTCGGATACCAGCCCGGTGCTCCACAAGACCGATACAAGACGGTGTATGAGAAGTCCGGACTTCCTCTCATCTTGTTCCAATATCCCGACAACACAAAGGCAACCTACAACCTAGACACTCTTCTTGAGATTGCCGCACAACCCGGTGTTATCGCCATGAAGAACGGTGTCCGCAACATGCGACGATGGGACGTCGAGATTCCCATCATCAAGAAGCAAAATCCCGATTTGACTATCCTCACATGCCACGATGAATACCTACTACACACATGCTTCGATGTTGACGGTATGCTTGTTGGATACGGCAACATTGCACCAGAGCCACTTCTGGAGATGATTGAAGCTGGAAAGGCGAGAGACTACCCTCGCGCAAGAGCTATTCACGACAGATTGCTTCCCGTGACTAGGAATGTCTACCACCGCGGCTCGCACATGGAGGGCACAGTAGCACTGAAGCACGGACTGGTAGCGAGAGGCATCTTGGAACATGCAACGGTTAGGAGTGGGCTTCTGCCACTTCAGGATGGTGCGGAGCAGGAAATCCATGCTGCCTTCAAGTCGGCCTCGCTGGGCAAGGTATCAGCACCCAAAAGCGGTTAGATAGAAGTGTTGGGGCAGATGTACATTTTATAGTTTAACAGTTATTTCGAAAGATCTTTTTTTTCACCGAAAACTGCCATTGTGATATGTCATATTTCCTGAATGACCGAAATCTCTGTCCCACCAATAATTCATGTCTTCTCCATTGAACAGATGCATGATTTGTTCGTTTGGCAATGGGTTATCTGAGTCCTGATGTGCTATCCCAAGGAAGTTACCGGGGTCGGCAAGGTAGTCATATGCCGGGTTGTTGGCAGCTAGAGCATTGCCAACATCATTATTCGGAAAGTTCAATGACCCTAGGTTGCTCATCATCATTGTTGAATTCGATTCCGCGTGAGAGTAATTTGCGTTTCTTGGAGCCGGCTGAGAATTTGTCGTCATACCCATCGCCGGATGGCTTTGCGTTGAATGCGTCGGTACGTCCTGTCGTTCTGAGAATACTTCATTCCCTTGATGGGCTGTTTGACGACTACCAAGTAATGAGGAAGTTTCGCCAACTAGTCGGCTGTCATTTACCGGGGCAGCTCCAGGCACAACAGTAGAGCTCCGAGTTGACGGCTTGCTTAGTCGTGCTGTGATATTTTGAATTGCAACTATACAAGCATCTGGCCATTTTGTGCCCCTCAATGCCAGGTGCTTGAGAATTTGTATGCTTCGATCAGAAAGTCGTATTGCAATGTCTCGAGTGACCTGACCTTCCGAGGCAGCAGAAAGAATTACAAACGTGCTCATCCATACAGCCCATGTGAAAGAAGGCCAAAGCAACGGGGTTCGTTCGTAGCCGTGTTGGCCAGGGGAGCCATCGAATGCACCGAATCCCCGGAGAGCCTTGTGCAGAGTGTTGATGATGGAGCGCGAAGCGGATATGCATCTTTGTAATGCTACGTTATAAGCTGCATCCTTTTTAGAGACTGCTAATACGGAGCGGTGTAGTGCTAGAATAGACTCGAAGCGAAGAACGATCAGAGTAACCTGGTGGGCTTTTGATATGTTCTGCACTTGCTCGTCATTGGAGAGATACTCGTCGACCATATTCCACCATCTGGTGTGCTCTGCTTCCCTTTCTAGAGCCTCTTCTGTCTCGTTTGTACTACCATGTAAAAAGGTTTGGTGTCGTGTTTGCATGATAGATCCGCGAATGTCAGCATGCTGAGCTAAGAATTCCAACAGATCTAGCCGATCGTCTCGTTCATTACCTGAGAAATAGTGAGCATAGGTGGTATTATGGGCTACGCCTCCATGTACATACCATCTCTGTGCTCGCGATCATGGTGCCGTTCGGTATGTGGATAGCATACGTTGGCCTCGTCGGACCGTATACCAAGTGGAGTCCCCAGTCGGATACAAATATGTCGATCTATACACAGTACAGACCAAAAGAGTCGTTTTCTCAGCTCAGCTTCCTTATCAGGTACTGATCGTTGCACGGGACAACGATGCAAACCTAATTGGAACGCCATCCGGACTGCCAGTCCTTCGAGACGAGACGCAGCATTGTATCTATGCATTGTGATTAAGAAAAGCTGAATGCTGACTAACGCTTGCAGTGATAGGACCGAAGTTTCTTCGGTCAAAATTAGCTGTGTACTCCGGATAGCATCGTTGATTGAATGAAATACAAGATTGGTCGGTACGGCCTTCCTCGCGGCATCAATTTGCCGCCGATCACATATCGACATCGACATGACTGAGCGAAGTATGATGTGCTGCAGCTCATTTGCTGTTGACAGCGTTGCAACACGTGGACCTCGTTGTACAATTTGGCGAAAGTAGTCCAGTAGTGAAGGAGCGTGCAAGAAGGGAAATGCGGGATGCCAATGGTCGAAATACGCTTGGCTCCATTCGAGAAAATCTTCAAAGACGATGGGCGGTACAATAGTTTCCGGTGTGGGAGCAATTACTTCGCCTTGTTGCCAAAGCCACCTGGATGCACTCTTGGACGCGCCCGCGGGTAGCTGATCTTCGCCCGGCGCAGCATCACTCTCTGGTGTGTCAACAGGCCGACCTGATGAGTGAACTCCGGTGGCGTTTTCAATGATAGACGGCGGTCCAGCGTTGTTCGCTGGGCTCGTCCTGAACGTGCTGCGATTGTCGTCTTGTGGACTTGTTCCTTCTGCCCCAAACTCTCTCAACTGCTGGCCCATAGTCTGGAGAAATGCCCTGCGTTTCTTGGCACCACTTGCATCGGATGCTGCGGCAGTGTCTACAGCTTCACTGTGAGTCGCTCGCCGCTTGCTGGGAATCACGTGGACCTCCGCCATGACGCGTGAAACAGGGCTATCACGCTCATGGGGCTCGCTAGAGAAGAGGACCCAGTCTGACGTAGGAAAAGCTTTGTCGTGATGGAACTTGCTGAAGTTGATACAAGCGTGATGATGGTGAGCGCGAACAAGAATGAACTATGCAAAGCCGGGGTGGAAGCTGTGACGCTACACACGGAAGGGGCAGCCAAGGTTCAGGGCTGAGGCTGGATCAGGTTAAGTGCGTAGCTGTAGGAGCGGGGCCTGTCACGACCTTTGGAGTGCACATTCACGGTGCATAGCTAACGATCGTTTGCTGAGTATCTTGCGCAATGCATTGCTATCTAAAAACTCGTAGAAACAGAAGGATATGCTTGGGAGAAAAGAAAGTACTCTCCTTCTCAAAAGTATTTTCGCCATCTCGCGTCGGCCGCAGAATGTGACTGCAACGTTGGCTGGCACGGAGGTGTAGGCGCCTCTGGTACATCGGCATATCCTTCGCCGGCTATATCTTCTAGTGGAGAGAAGCCTGTGGTGTTCTGGTCAAGATGCTCTAGATTGGTATCTGCTTCAGATAACCCAGTTCCATCTGTAACTGGTCGCCACGGAACTTGCATTCCTGGAGGTTGTCCCGGCAAAAGGGCCGCTTGCTCACCGCCTAAGAGTACTTGCGTGCTCTCATCATGTATCGTTCTGCTTGATCCCGCTGCCCAGGGACTGGTTGCAGTGGGACTCTTTTGGGTTATGCGATCGCCACTGGTTTCTGCCGCCTTTGCGATACGTTCGCTCTTCTTCAACCACCAAGTACGTCTCTGCTCCTCCGTAGTAAGAGGAAGGTTTTTCCATTCTTCAATTTTATGTGTTTTGGCTTGCTTCTGGCCATACTCTGCTAATAACCGACGATCCCTCTCGGGAAGGTGATGAGGTTCGATCGGTACACGCGACTCGTAGATGGCTGAAAGAAGCTCCAAAACGACAATCTCAGTCTCGAGGAGTCGCTGTTCGATGAAAGATATGTATCCAGATGGTATACCTCTATTTATGTGATTAGCAAGCTCCTGGCAGACTTAGCGTCAGAGCACCTTTTATTGATCGGTGGGTATCGGCATAACGTGTCTGAAGAGCTACATTGCGAGCATATCGGCAGCTCACGGTCACACTGAAGAGCGCCTTAGCTGATGTTTGAAACTGTTAAAATGAAGCTGACCTTTGACTTTTTGTTGCGACAGGACTCGCAGGCGATCGGATGAAATGTACTACTCGTTTCATCCTAGACTGTAAGCATGAGAATACCGCGGGGAACAAGGATCTGCGGCATTTGGGAATTACGCACCATTGCAACAGCGATTCCACAGCATGTTGGCGAAAGCGCGATTCTATCTTGGTGCTCCGCCGGACTTGACTTTGTCCTAGCGCGGACGCTCCGCTTCTTGCCCCAGGCAGGCTTGCGCGGGGTAGTGACACCAATCCCGGAATGTTGCGAGAGAGACATCATAGCCGGAAGACGTGACGCATTGCATGACACTGAATGTCTGATTTGCTGCTAAAGTTACATGGAGTATGTAAACTCTCTTAGCCTAAGACAGATGCGCAGATAGATTACCATAAAATCCCGTCGCAGACTTTAAGTTAGTGCAGCCCGCATCGAGCCAAGAGTTGTACTACAGGAGTATACCCGAAGCTAGCCCTTGAGGCCTTTCGGTGGTAAAACAAGTACCGGCTGGTTGGACCTCATATGTCATGCATGTCATTGGTATGCATACGCTAACTCCAGGAGTGACATTTGCGCAGTGCTTGTTCAAATCCCGATTGCCCATGTATACTCCCGCAGTAGATACACTGTTTCCCTTGGCTATCGATTCCCATGTATCGCCTTGATTAGTCGTATGTCGCTTACCAGTGAGGCGGTACGGGAGCGGCGAGGGCTGTGTTTTTTCCTTCAGGCCGCATTGTGCGTACACATACTCTTCCCGACTTAATATTCATTATCTGGATCCTACTACGCACCAGGACTACCCGCTGTAAAGGTGACAATTTGCTCAAGGAAATATATCTCCAATTCAACCCACAGTTTCAAAAGGTGGTTTGGTGACATCCTTAACCACCCAAAGCACCGCTATGGGCCAAATCGCGGGCTCTTTGGCACGCAAGCAGCGGCATCGTAGTCTGCTGCTACACATTTGATCATGCCAAGGTTGGGGTTCGTCAGCACCTCTGTATCCGCTAGTATAAAGATTCGACATGGATCCCTGTCTGTGTTCATCGGCTACGTAGCCTCCCGTTTCTTTATGATAAAGCTACCGTACTTCTTCCAGCGCCAAGCCGCCCAGGACCGCAGGATCTAAGCGAGTATCTAATTTGAAGAGCTCCTGCGCTTTAGCAATCATGGCAGGGTCATCGGCATATTTTGCTTTTTCTCTGGTTGCATCCCTAGCGCCATTGGTGATGGCCTGGATCAGCTCGTCACATCGCTGATCGGATCCAGGTCCATAGTACGTTCGATAGATAGTGAAGCCCCAAGGCCGTAGACACCTGTCAAGATCCGTATCATCGAATACTTGGTCTTGAGGAAACTTGTACAAGCTGTCGACAAATTTTCTAATCCGGGGTTCCATCGTGAAGTTGATGAGTCGTAGCGTAACAATAAAATGTGAGATTACTGAAACACGTGCAATTGGGCAAGGATAGTTCGACAAGCAATCCTACATACCCAGTCTGCAAACAACGCATGCGCATAAGAAGCTGGCGCTAAGCCGGGCAAGGCATATACTCCATCCTCAACAAACATCTAGGCTTCCTATTCTACTGTATGTACTGTGCCGCCTTGGCGATACGCCGCCCCACAGAGCACGCGGTATGCACAGCAGTGTAAAAGGATCTCACTCCGTGGAGCATTTTCTTCAAATTATGTACCCTAAAAGTCATAATGGGTCTTGAATCTGGTTTCTATTAACCTACGCACCAACTCAACCGTCCTTGGTGCCTGCATGCAAAAGCTGCATGTTGCTATTTGGTGAGGGCCTCGCAGGTACACCGGTGCTGCTTAGACTTCTGCCTGATGCGAAGACTGAAAGTCGTCTAGAAGGATAGAAATTAATAACGCTGCCCCCGAATTCACAAGCATGGCAACATACCACGTATCTTGCCTTGCTTCTACTAGTTCAAAGTGAACGGCTCGCGATGGCGCCTCGTATACACAATATGAATCACGGTCGGTGTGCCTCACACTTCATATGCACAATCATTGTCATGAACAAACAAGGACGAGTGTGGGTAAATCGAGCGTGTAACCTCTTCTCAGCCCAAGACGCAGCAGTATCGCAGTTGGCCCGCTAGAGCACCTTACGACTCTTTCAAGCTTACACAAATACACCCTCAAGTATCGGAAAGGAACATCACTTCACAATGCAGTCGAGAATAAATCAAAAGAGAATGTAGTAATTATATCCATATAGACATTGTAAGAGATTAATTCTAAGTAATCGACCAAGTCTCCAGAAGATGAAGTGACCGAATCTTCGAAAGCTTGCCTTTTTTGTTCGTGTGCTGAACAGTGAAACAGCTACTACAGCCGTGAGTATATACCAACTGCCTTTTTCGCCTGCCACAGATCACACAGTCACCGTTGTTCCACGGGTTAAAGAAAAAAACAAGAGACCAATCATGTTTTTTGTATGGAACTTAAGCAACGCACGAGCAGACAGGGTTGTTGATGACCTGGCCGATCTGGAGTGACTGAGGAAGCTGACCGGGGTTGGCCGCCTCGATTTGGCCGATGGTGATGCCACCCTTCTTGGCAATGGCGCTGAAGGTGTCGCCAGAGACGATGGTGTAGTTGCGGTTGGTGCAAGAGCAGCCCTGGCAGACGGGGATAATGGTCGTGTTGCCGGCGAAGATGGCGTCGAAGCTGGCGAACCTGCCCTGGTTGGCGTTCTTGAGGGCGTCGAGCTTGAGGTCGAAGTTGTTGGCGATGAGAGTGAAAGTGTCGCCGGGGATGACCTGGTAGGTGGGAGGGTTGACAGAAAGACCCTTGACGCAGTCCTGAGTACCAGTGGGCTGGAGAACGTTGGGAAGGCAGCTGGTCTTGTCGATGGTTTCAGTGCAGTTAGCTGGGACAGTGATGAGCTGGCCGGGGAAGATGAGGTCGGGGTTGGCAATGTTGTTGGCTGCGACAATGTTGCAGGCACCGGAACCGAACTTGTCGGCAATGGTTGTCAGGGTGTCACCAGAGACGATAGTGTAATTCTGGAGTGAAAGGGGCTTGCAAGAGATATTTGGGAAGGGGCTCTTGCCTGCTGGTCGTTAGCAATCCGTAATCTACAAAGGATAGTTATTTGTACTTACAGTCCTTGCTCGGCTTGTAAGGCATGGCAGAGACGGAAGCGGCCAAGATGGCGACGGCAGCGAAGAGAGTGGACTTCATTTTGAAAAATGATAAACAAACCGTTTATGTAGTATAGATAATGAGCGTGGGTATTAAAAGAGTGTGGGTATTAAAGCTGAATAGCAGACGATAGGCAGTTGTAGCTGTGAGGAATCAGTTAATGAGAGCAGAACGTGAACAGTTATATACTCATACACCCCTTCCTACTCCTACCAGCATCATGACATATTTTTAGTCGTGTCACTAGAAAACGTCGTGACTTCGGTGCTTATTGCGAGATGCTTCCACAGACTCGGTCTAATGTCACTTCCCTGTTAACCACATTGGCCATCACCCCCCCCCCCCCAAGCATCTCGAAGACTCATTTCGTTTTAGCCCTTGACCAAGACTTGTAGACCTGTCAGCTTACACATCCATAACTTTGTGGACTTGGTTTCGGGCAATATTATCCGGCGGACGGGCCCGGCTGGGGTCGATCATCAACGTATGAATGCACTTTGATAGAAAGAGTGATTGGGTCTCAAGTTGATTACAAGTATGAAGGGCAGTGCTAGGCCTGATCATCAACAGAGGTGCATGCAGACTCAGTTGCAGACTCTGACAATGGGAAGTTGGTGTAAGAAAACGCACGCGTTGTGGGTCGTCTCAGCAGCTATGGTCAACTGGCCATCTTACAGTTTGGAAGCAGAGCGCTGTCAAAGTATTCCCAGAGCACACGACACGGGTTGGAAATTGCTCCAATAAGGCTTGGAACTGAAATCTTAGGGGACATGACAAGGTGTGGGAAATTGCATCGACGTAAATCAAGTTAAGGTTCATAGTGCGCAGTTCAAAGCCGAGTAAGCTCATGCTGGTGCCAATCGGAATAGTCTTTCACCATTTTTTCGGAAGTGATGGAGGCATTTTGAGTTATTCCGGATTAGGCCCGATTTAACCGCCTTACCCAATTCGTCCCAGTAAGCTTAATGCTGTTGTGAACTTTGTGAACTATTCCGATGACTTCCATACTTTCACAATACAAATCTTGGTGGCATTTGGAGCTCTCAAGAGCATTGTTCTGGATGTGTGGGAGTCAATTGGCTCTTCGCTCTTGCCTCTCTTTGGTCATCGGCGACTTGATTGGCTCAGAAGTTACCAAGTCAGTTGCAATCATTTCATTCATTTCATTCATTAGGATTTTCTGCAGTCTATGACTCAGCATCTAGTGATCTCCACAAATGACCGGGGTTCCCGGTTATCACGGCTCCCTGCTGGCGACAGCTCCAAGTAGATTTGCAACGGTCGGCTCGTAGGGCGGAACCCGCATAGTGGCGAACCACATACCGGCTTACATCCATATCCAAGACTGTATCAAAGGCCGGTAGATGAAATCTAGGAAAAGTATTGACTAGGCTGATGCCTCATTGTGATGAAAAAGGGGTTCACCATGGTCGCCTTCCCGTCTGCTGTGGGCTGACAGCGAAGTAAGCTGGGTGGATATCTACTTAGGCTGGCGCTGATAGCCGGACGCTTAGCTAGCAACTAGTGGCGAGACTAAGCCGCTGTTAGTGTGCCTGAGGAAGTGGGTTAGGGTTAGTCAATCAACTGCAGCTGCAGCGCTAATGCAGCCGACAGATACAGGGATTGCTTATACTATTTTATAGGTGAGATGAATGGTAGTTACGGCTGCTTTGGGTTTATTGCTTCACGTTTGTTCTTACAGCCGCATCTCTCAGAAGTAACCTGACGTGCAAATACATAGGGCTGGAATGGTGGGGCAATACGAATAGCAAATATTCCCAAGAAGGCTATAGCGAGAAACGGGCCGTCAGATGGCATGGGAAGGTGATGCGAAATCGTTCGCGTGGAGTGATCGTCGCAAATACGGGACCTGTAGCTTGGCCAGGGTCGCATTCTCAAAATGGTCGCGAAAAGCTTCCGGCTTACCTCTCCAGGCACTCTTACATTCACCCAGAGCACGCTTCTCGGCCGTTGTTCTTTGCCAAGGGCCAAGATGCAATGTCAGATGAGGGTCCAACATGCAATTTGCTGGTACAGAGCAATTGGTATACGCGCTCCAAGAGTAGTGGTTGCTACCCGTGGAACGAACCATAGAATGGGTATCAGGTTGCTTACGGCTGCGATTCGGGAAGATGCCCCTTTCCTAGGGCCGGTTGTGGCTGCTCAGCAGCATGCACTGAGGACAGCATAAAGATGAGACATTCTTTCCGCTTATTCCATACGCGTGAAGTAACGCTTCACTCTGTCAGCGACATGCAGTGCATCAGAGCGTATATGCCGAATGTCCAAGTATGCGTTATGGAACCAGTTGCTTGGTTGTCATCTTCGTTAGTCACGAACAAATGCCAATATTCACCGGATGGTAGATCGACACACTGACATCCGAGTGCAACAGGCCGGTTCCTGTATGGAGATGACGAGAACGGTTGCGAACAATCCTTGTATGGTGATGGGCGGCAATCTCGGTACACCTTGGACCTGGGGTTCTTCCAAGCCCAAAACTGCCAAGCATGACGTACGATAGCCTTATGGTAAGTACGTACGTAGTAGATTTGACGGCGGGGAGACATTACCGATGTTGTCTCAACATGGATCCCAAGTGCATAGTGTTGTGTACTTACATACATACTACAATACACTATACCCAGGCCAGTACATATGCCTGGACTTCGTCAATGCCATCATCAGTAACAGATCTGTCACCCCTGCATTGCCCTACGTAGCCGTGTATGCACATGCGCCTGGGAAATTACTCCGTGCCGTGTCGGTACATGTGGGGTGCATGGACCACTTCTCTTTTCAAAGTCGAAATAGAGCTGACATCGTCTTACTCCGCGCCGGACCCGGCTGTCTTTCCTCGACGGCCTGTTGGCACCAAGAAGCTTCCATGAGCCCCTTATCCGCGAACGGGTTTTCTGAATATCTTATGCATTCGTAAAAGCAGGAGTCAATAGGTTCCTGTAAAGTATACATGTACAGATCTTGAGATGAACTCGATAACAGTCCATGAACCACTAGCGATAAACCCAATATCGAGCACAATACCCCTGAATCATATTAAGCTTTCCTCGGTTTCCGAGCAGCCGTCACTAGTTGCATCGGCGTGGCTGCTGGTATGCCTGGAAAGGTTCCATCGGTATGGATGCTTCAATGAAGCAGTAATAGGAAATTAATTGACGCAATCGTACTCATGACGAGTCTTTTGTCCTTTTCATATTGAGGGTACCAACTATAATTTCTTAATTCCAGATGCACACGAGACTTCAGAACCAACAGAACTGGATACTCGTTACGGCCAAGTGAACGCCCATTTATACCGACCTACTGCCCAGGCCTACTACCGAACCCATGATCCCAGCCAATAACATACAGTCAGTATAACTACGGAGACGAGTGCCGCCAACTTCAGCAGTAGAGTAAAGATCAAACATACACGTCCTCTCGGTCTCTACTGAAATACTAGTATCTAACCTCACCTCATTGTCGTCACCCTCATCAAATCAAGTACCGCCTGACAAAAACCAATAATTTATTCTGAAACTACGCTTATCAAACATCTCTATGACAAGGGGAGAAGCCAAACAGATACCGGCAAAAGCTACTCTACGGCTCTCAGTTCAGCCCGCCGGTCCTTCCAATGTATTCCGTCGACTAGGCACCCTTGGGTCCCTCTTCCCCATCGTAACCTCAAGCGCCTGAATCAAGCCTCTTTCATCGTACCTAACGAACCCCTCGCCCTCATTCCTCCTCCCATACACGCGAATAGCTTCGATGCCAATCCTCCTAAGCTCATCCTTGTCAACGGCTGGCGTCCCCGGCCCTTGCAGATGGATAACATGCGTGACATAATTCTTGTACTTTGTCTTGTCAACTGACTCGAACACGCCTTTTGACTCCTCGCCTGCCTTGGCAATGGCAGCTACAAAGTCCAGGGCTGTGTACGGATTCGAACATGGCCCTGTTTCGCGATCAATGGTCGAGTTGAGGATGAGGATTTTGTAGCGGATAGAGGAGTTGCTGATGGCTTCGCCGACTCCTTTGAGGACAAGAGAGGGGATGATGGATGTGTAAAGTGAGCCGATGCTGTACACAACAGCCTGAGCTTCCGCTAATGAGTTGAGCACCATGGGATTGGCGGAGAGACGGATTTCTTGGCCATATGGGTTGATGTACCATAGCCGCTCAATCCTCGCAGGTAGTTCTTCTTCGTCGGCTTTTGAGAAGGTGATGTATTGTTTCCGAAGTGTGGGGAGAGACCCGGGTAGGTTGGCATCTTCGATGCTGTCATGGTGCTCTGTCTCGTCAATTTCTGTAGGTGCGCCACCGAAAACCAGAGCTGTCGAGATAGAAGGGTGCGATATGGAGTTTTGCCCGGTGATTACTTCTCCATTTGCGAGGCCAACGGAAATGTGATGCGTGAAATTGGTGTTGATTGCGGGGAGAACAGACGTGTGGCTAGGTACCGAGCAGATGCTGGAGAGAAGATAGATTGCGGATTCAAATGACCCGGTAAAGAGTCGAGCACTGAATGGAATTAGTACTATTGAAACACCATAAAGTAGCCGTCGTTGAAAGACCCATGTGTCTAGCATAACGACAGCGCAAGAATCGAAGCGTGTGCTTGTATGTGCACCCTGCAACATCGTTCAGATAGAAGAAGCAACCCACCCAGTCAGAAACAGATTTCCAATGCTTGCACCGGAAAAGTCGAAACTAGAGGAAGGTCGCCGTCGCTTTACGATCTCGAATGCGACAACATTTAACATGGACCGTACCAGTTCTTTCTTCGCAGTTGAAATATTGGTCCACAGTGCGTGCTCAGCCTCTACGATTTGTAGCCACTCTTCCCGGGCTAAAGAGCGTTCCTTGGGCAGCCTATGGTTGAAGAACGTTTTGATAGCTGCCTTTTCGCTATCGTCGTGATCTGGATCGTCCGGGATAAGGCGGACGAGACGACCTGCACTTGATTAACACGAAAACATTAAACTCACGAGGCGAGAGCTCAGCATACTTCGTACATCGCCAATACCTTTTTACGTCAGTATGTTCTTTTGGTTACGATTCTGTGAGCGATACATACCTGGGCCTCCAAAGACACGGATCAGCTCCGACGAGCTTCCACCGTTATCGCTGATAGGGATGACATAGCTGAGTGGGCACTTCTTGTCCTCCCGCACTGTTTTGAACACGTCGACCAAGTTATTTGCAGCGCTGCCGCCGGAAAAGACGACAATACCTTTGGCTTTGAGATTGCCGTTCATTGTCGGCGAAGCCGGTACTGTGTAGTCGCCATGTGGCGTGAGGAGGGTATCGGCAGTCATGGGTGGATATATGGATGTAGACGTCTATATGAGATAAGATTGACCACGTGGGTCGCGGTTCCGTGTCATTTATGTCATGCTGGATTGTTCGCGACGGGGAGTTGTGATCCGACTCAAGATGTGGTCGCTCCTTCACCCGCTCAAAATAGAGTCACGCACTAACATCCTAGGGCGGGTTTTGGCGCGTTACTCAACTAGGCAATATCTCGCAATTTTGAATCATGGTTGATGAATATGGATGTTTTGTATTTGGTGCATTTGCAAAAGTTCAAATCTGAAGAATTTGTACAAACGAGTCTCCAGTTCGGACATGATAGAAGAGCGGTTCCAACGCACGCTCTTGGCTCATCAACGCCCATGCCTGGGTTTGCCTCATCACGAGTAGTGTCTGCAGTATGAGATAGGACCAATACAGACAAGACTTATGATGAATCTTTGGACATGGATTTGGGCGAATGTGCCCTCGTCTCCGCACTACCCCTCCTCACGCTCCTTCCCTGTGCCTTTGATAGTGATGTGCCTCTACGAGTTTCCAGCAGCCTCCTCGCGCTCCTTCCTCCGTGCTCGCTTCTCGAGTAGGGCGTCTCGTCGATCGGCCAGGAGCCTGAATTGTCGTTGCTCCACGCCTGTGAGCCAGTAGCCGAAGCTGCCACCAACGCCGGCATAGATGGGGTAGACCCAGATGGACTCCTTATTGAAGAGCGGGCGCATCTCAATGCCCAGCTGCCATAGTCGCGCGGCAATGCCTGGTGGACGTGGTCAGTAGTGTCGGTGGTGAGTCTGCAAAGGTCGTGGGAGACGTACCAAGCCCGCCCCAGACGAGGACCTTGTGAACCATTGTGGAGTGGCCTTGAAAGCAGTCGTGATATCGCTATCGAAGAGGTCTGACGTGTTGTGTTGTAGCAGCAATTGAGTCAAGTGTTGCTGTCACCGCTGTACGAGGCTTCTTTGTCGCGATGCTTGATGTGAAGCTCCAGATTGCCAAGACAAGAACCACCTGCGCGGTTGTGGAACGGAGCCAACGCCCGCCGACTCCCATCCCGGCGCGACGGCTACTTTTTCGCGACTTCTCTTGATACACCACTCTGTATGCCTCAAAGTGCTGCACTTCTTTACAATTCGGGGTGACGCGCCCAGTCGCAGCACTTCCAAGCCTCCCTACGTCATTCGCTGCCCAACTGGCCGTTCACCCCCGTCTCCTGCATACGGCCAGTCGCACACGTCGCCAGACGACTGATCGCAACGACGAACCACCGACCATGGCCGAAGTTGGACGCAAGCGCGCCCAAGAAGGCGATGGCACGGTAAATGTGCGCAAGAAACTAAGGCCTTCGGAGCTTCCGCTCTCTCAGGCGAAACGATCGGCCATCGACAGCTTGGTACACATGTTTCGCAAAAAGGGCACATACGACGACATACGGAGGGACCTCATGAAGCAATATGTATCAGGTGTATGTGAAAATCTCGCATTAGAAAGCCCAGGCCCGGCACTAACACTTATGCTCCAGCCCGCCAAAGATGAACTCCAGTCCGCCCTCAAAGAACTTGTTGACCGTGAAACCGACCGTAACCCGTCCTTACTATCCAAGGACCCCCGAATGGCGACCACCCTTATCGAAGGTGCTGGAGAACGCAGTGACATCTACGCGAACATCATGAGCACTGTCAACACCCTGCTGGACCGATTGATGGAGGAACAGGGCTTGCCGAAAATGCGCGAATACCGCATTCAGGAAATCGGAGCGGAGGCAGCGGCTGAAGAGGAGAAGCGAGGCAGCAAGACCGAAGAGGAGTGGGCACAAGAAGCTGAGGCTCGACGGCAAAAGCGTGAGGCTCAGAGGGATAAGGAGCTGGAAGAAGAGCGCGAGAAGGAGCGTGCAGAGAGGGCCAAAAAGGAGGAGCGCAGGCGGCGAGAAAAGGAAGAAGATGAAGCTCGAGAGAAGGCTCGGCAGGAAGAAAAGGAGCGCAGGCGCAAGGAGCGTGAAGAGCGTGAGAAGGAAGACGAAGAGCGCCGACGAAAAGACCGAGAAAGGATTGAGAAGGAGAGAGAAGAGGAACGCCAGCGCCTTAAGAAGGAGCGAGAAGAGCACGAGAAGAGTCGAGAGGCTCGCCTTAAGAAAATCCGAGAGGAGGATGCTGAGCGGGAGCGTCGCATACAAGAGGAGCTTGACCGAGATCGTGGTGGACGCTATCGCAGTGGCCGTGGACGTAGCAGGACCCCTGACCGTGACAGAGACCGCCGAGGGCGTGATAGAAGCAGGCGAAGGAGCAGGACAAGGTCAAGATCGCGTGACCGCCGTACATCTATCAAGCCCGAGGACATCAAGGTGGACGACGACCTGGCACTTCAGCTTTTGCTACAAGAAAGCGAACAGATGAAGAAGTCACGGCAGCGACCCGCACTTGAACGCTCAGAATCACTCGAGCCGCCTATGCGGAAAGCACACCCACCCAAGTCACTCGTACCACGAGATCCAGTGGCTGTTCGACTGGCGAAGCTTGACGGAAAATCTGCCTCATCTGCACATCGGGCCTCCAGCAAAGACCTCAGATCTCCCATTTCGGAAACACATGCTGCAGCCGCAAAGGACGAAGACACCCTGATGATGGACGCACCACCAACCGACGCCAAGGGTCGACGAGGGGAATTATCTTCAAAAGGCGATAAATCACGCGCACGCTCTAGATCACGCAGTGTTGCACGGAGTACTAGAAGGCGAAGTAGAAGCCGTTCACTGTCTCGCGGAAGCCGCTATGACCGCAGGTCTCGACGGGATGATGATAGACACTCTTACAGGCCGGCACACGACGGTCGAAGGCGCGATCGCGACGACCGCGACGATAGACGCTCACGCCGCGACAGTCGTAGCCGGTCACGAGAGACACGTACTAGCCGCCGCAAGTCGCGATACGAGACACGCAGCCCTTCACCGAGCCGAGAAGAGAGACGTCGAGACCGTACCCGGTCTCGTTCCCGAAGCCGACGTGATCGTGACCGTGACCGTGACCGTGATCGTGATCGTGATCGTGATCGTGATCGTGATCGCGACCGCGACCGCGACCGTGAACGTGAACGTGATCGGTCGGCCACTCGTCGACGCCGTCATTCCCGCTCTAGGAGTCCAGATAACATTGATCGCTATGTACCTGGCGGTGCGGCAGCAGCAGCCGCAGCCGCAGCCGCCACCACTACCACTAGCACCCGGAAGCGAGAAGATAGCCGTGAGCGCAAGCGTGATGATAGCCGACCTCGTAGGCGTGACGATAGCCGCGATCGACCACGGAGCTACAGGTCTCGGGACTATGATCGCTGGGATGGTGGGAGAGAACGGGGTAGTAGACGGCAAGAGTCTGACTGTTACCAACCTGGTGGTGGGGGTGGAGATGGTGATGAGAAGGAGCGAGACAGCGATCGAAAGGCCAGAGAGCGGAGTAGGGAGCGGAGTAGGGAAAGAAGCCGGGAGAGAAGCCGGGAGAGAAGTCGTGATAGAGACAGACGCAGGCGTGTGAGGAGTCGGACGAGAAGCCGCAGCCGAGACCGTCGGCGCTGAGCGAGGGGCTGGTGGGCTGATGGATTGATTGATTGATTTGATTTGATTCTCGGGGGAAGTGTATTATAATAACTATGGGGTCGACTTAGGTAGTCTTGACTAAAGAGCTGGTTATGCCTTGCTCGTTACTACTACACAGTACAGTACGAATGCGATCAAGTCATGTTGGTGTTTTCACTGTTTACAAATTATTATCCACAGTACATACATAGATGGATAGATGTACATGTGTAGTATTGTAGCATGTACATGTAGTACTAATGTTGGGACATGGATAGTACAGTAGGACTGACGTCGGCATAGGCAAAAGCAGGGCCACGGGTCCTGCGTGCCAAGCGGCGCTAGGCGGGGGATCCCTGCGCAGCCACTGCACGGCTGTGCAGGCGACGGAAAGACCTGGTCACGTATCTTTGTCCCATTGCGCGTGCGACGACACCCTTGGTATTGGCTGCCTACATTTTGGCCCTCTTCCCACTTCTCTTCGCCCTCTTGCTCGCCACCCTACCCGCTACACTCATTCACCTCCCCACCAGCCTGCTACCGACTCTCTGTTCTGGCCACCCACACATTGTTCTCTTCGCCTTGCAACTAGCGCCGCCGTGGTCATGTTCGCTCCCGGCAAACCCAAGATTAAGACGAGAACCGTTCTTGTCAAGAAGGCGCCCGCCCCCACTGCAAGCCCCTCACCCTCATCACGCCCTCTAGCCTCACGCCCGGGCAATGCCTCGCGCTCCCACAGTGCATCTGGCCCGCCATCCAACCGCTACCAGTCGACGCCCCGCTTGCAAACAACCTCGAGGGAACGGGCCCCCAAGTCGGTATCTGTGTCGCGTGTCGACACCCGCAAACGCAAGGGTGCCGATACTCCCCAGTGGGCAAGCAGCGATGAGTCGAGCGAGGATGAGGACAGTGATCGCTTGGGTGTCAAGCGCCGCCGGACACGGCCAGCCAGCAGCAGTATTGAGCCTATGAGTCTAAATCGCGCTCTCGAGCCGGACTTGAGCAGGCGCATACGGATACAGGAGGCTGAGAAGAGAGATGTCGCAGAGGCCGAAGGGTCTTCAAATGGTACAGCAACAGCCTCAGTCATGAGACAGGCCCAGGAGAATGCGGCGTTTAGAAAGAAAAAGGCATCGTCAGCCAAGATATGCCTGAAACATGGTTATGAAATGACAAAAGATGATGTAGCCAAAGCCTACAAATCTGCTTTTTCAGGGAGCGACAAGAAGCTTGTAGTTGAACTGCAATATCCCAGTCTCTCCCGTCCAGAAAAGTTCGAAGCTGTTGCCCGAAAAGAAGTAGACGAGGAGTACAGCCCGCTGGATGACATTTATTTCAGTATCGAGGAAATCATACAGCACTACCTCCCATCCGACCTGTCTGCAGAGCTGTCATCCGACGCACTAGGCACAGTCCGGCTCCTCAAGCGAGCCGTAACCAAAGACGACCCAGAACTCTTCAAACAAGAACTGTCCAAATTCAACAAGCTGATCAAGGACCGCTACAGCGATGGCACCATACCCCGCATCCTCGACGACATGCACGCCATCCCCCTCAGCCTCGTCAAGCGCATCACCGCCCAAAGCTACAACCGCATCGTGTCCCCGCACGCCCACCGCCTCCGCAAGGTCGCCGGCAAAGAAACCACCTACGGCGAGCTCCTCACGCCCTTTGTGCACAAAATCTTTGCCCAAACCGGCCTCAACTCCTCACACGTCTTCGTCGACCTGGGCTCGGGCGTCGGCAACGTCGTCCTCCAATCCGCCCTCCAAACCGGCGCCGAATCCTGGGGCATCGAAAAAATGAAACTCGCCGCCTCCCTGGGCTCCGAACAAGCCGCCGAACTCAAAGCCCGCTCCAAACTCTGGAATATTGCCCTCGGCCCCATTGAGCTTATCCACGGCGATTTCCTCGAATCGCCAGACATTGATAATGTGCTAAGAAAAGCAGATGTCGTCCTTGTGAATAACAAAGTCTTTGGCGAAACGTTGAATAACCTTTTGCTGCAAAAGTTTCTGGATCTGAAGCAAGGGTGCAAAGTTGTTAGTCTTGAGAGCTTTGGGGGTGGGGCCGCGAAACAAGGGGTGAGGAATGAACAGAGTATTGCGGGGCTGTTTGACGAAGAGAGGTACGAGTCGGGGACTAATAGTGTGAGTTGGGCGGGTGAGAGTGTGGAGTACTTTATTGCGACGAAGGCGAGGTGAGTGTAAGCGAGCAAGAAAACTTGGGGGCTTCTTTCTTCTTCTTTTCCTTTCTCTGTTTTGTGGTAAGTGATATGAGTGTATCTTTTCTTCTTCTTTTTTCTTTCTCTTCCTCATCCTTGTAGTTGTTGTTTCTCATTACTCTTCTTCTCTGTATCATAAGCGGGTGGATGGGGCGGGCGGTAGGGAGAGGGAGGCTGGGACTTTTTTTTTTCATGGTTGAAATCAGGGTTACATGTATGGTTCCTATCTACAGATTTCGTTTTTGTAACTGGTTGTTGTTGTTATTGTTTTTTCTTCTTGTTCTTCTTCTCTTTGTTCTAGAAAGGATTATCTAGGGTGGGTGGAACTTCGATATATAGCTGTTGACTTTGGGGTTTAAGGAGGAGTGGAGGGGGAGTGGAGGGAAGAAAACCAAAGGGGGGAAAAAGATAAGGGAAACGCATTTGCATGGTTATTAGCATAGAAGGCAGCAACACGTTTTTTTTTGGTGGCGTTTTGATTGGAAATATCAATACCCCTCCTCCTTTTTTTCCCTTCCTATTCTTTTGCTGGGGTTCCTTGTTGTTTGGTAGCTGTGCAGACAGAGAAGATGAAGAATATATATTTAAAAAAAAATTAAGTGAATAAGGTATTCTAGACGTTGTAGTAAAGTCCATGGGCGCAGACGGTGAGGTTTTGCTTTTTGTCAACTACAGCAAGAAAAGAGGTAATGCCAAGTGTATGTGTAGGTATGTATGCATATTCCATCTACAAAGAACTACCGTTATTACTTTTCCTTTTTTCCTTCCCATTTTACACATCCCACGTATGTATTATCCACCTTGGGAACTCGACCCACTCCACACCAAGATGTATCCCTACCCATGGACCCATTACACACAGCGAGCCAAACAAATACCAAGCAATCATTGTATTATCTATTAAACAGAAAAAAGGAGTGTCATATGTACACGTATAAACATGTATATGTAGTGTGGGGGGTATCAAAGGAATGGACAGCCGGACAAGCGTATGGTTAAAGAACCTGAAAGGAAATTCGTGTTCGCGTTTGTATGAAGAAGAGAGAAAAGAGAAAAAGATCAGAGGAACAAAAGATATGTACAATCTGAAGAACCATCGGCAACCCCAAGTTTTTTTTCTATCGACCCGAAATTTGATAATTGCAGTTGGTTTTTAGTTGGTTTCTTAGAAGAAAAAGGCCAGGGCACCAAGACCAACAGCAGCGTATTGGGCTCCATTGGCGACAGCAGCGCCAGTTTGCAGCGAAGGCTTGTCGTTTCCGGGGGCATTAGGGCTATTGGCAGCACCCGTAGCTTGCACCGGGTCGACAAAGGCATACGTCGTCATTGTGCTCTGGCGGCCCTGTGCATCAGTCGTGGTAATCAGCTTGATGCTGCTGACCAGACCGCCACCGGGTGTGAGCGTGGTCAGGACAACAGAGCCGCGTGAGTCAGTTGTTGACGTCACTTGGCCTGCTGTTGGCGCAAAGTTCACCGCCGAAGTGGTGACGGTGGTGCGGCCGGCTCGGTCCGTAGTTGTCTTGATGACGGCAGGTCGGTTCTCGGTCTCTGTTACCGTGCTGCCTGCTGTATTCGTGCGGACAACAGTCACAGCGACGGAGGCGGTGACTTCGCTAAGGACCTCGGTGGTCTGCACAATCGTCTTGCCATCCTTGGTTACCGTGGATTCGACAGGAATAATGGCCGGTCGCTCTTGAGTCGTGGTTGAAACGGCGGTTGTGGTTTGCTGCCGGGTCTGTGTCTGCGTCTGAGTTTGATCTTGGGTCTGCGTCTGCGTCTGTGTCTGTGTCTGGATTTGCGTCTGAGTTCGCGTCTGAGTCACAGTATCGGCGGAGGCCTCACTGGTTCCAGACGGTGGTGGTGGCGCAGCAGAGCTAGTTTCAGGTTGTAAGTTGTCGCTCGGTGTCGGCACCGGAGTGGAGTTCTGGATTGACTCGGGTGGATTGCTGGCGGTAGTGGCGCTATTGGTGCCGTTTGAAGGCGTCTGCCTCTTGCGCAAGTCATTGACAGCATCGACGATAAGCTTGGAAGCAAGCGCTGGGTTGTTGCTGTGGATGTTTTCGACTCCCCGGTGGTGCGACTCGAAAATGCCATTCTTGAAGTCCTTGAGATTACTCAGTGCTGCATGGAGGGATTCTTCGGGCAGCGCGTTCAGCAGGTCCTGGAAAGCTTCCTGTGCGGTTGCATAGATGGTCTTTGGGTGGTCTGCAACATCCTTGGGCTCCGCAGCTGCAATTGCGCTGAATAAGGGAAGTGCCATGACGGCAACCTGGCAGAAGGAACGCATCGTGTTGACTCGCGAGGGTGATATTGGTTAGCGGAACAAAGAGAAGGTGGATTGCCTCTTTTAAGGGGAAAAAATGCCAGGAGCTGCGCAGTTCGTGTCAGCAGAACGCCATGATGTGGCTAAGCCCCGGGAGCGGTAACAAAGGGAACGAGGCGGAACACATAAACTTTAGCGAGTGATGGTCGCCATGAAGGCGGTGCTCAGGACGTGCTTACACAATTTGGGTGGGCTCCCGAGTGGCTGGGTTACGAGTGTCCCGACGCCGCGAAGCCAACAATGGACTATCTTGCTTGCTTGTTGCGTAATATTTCTCCGGTGTACTCGATGACGTTTCTTGTTTTTTCCTTTATCGCGAGCCAGCCAGCAAGAAAGCTGAAAATTCAAGCGAAACGAGAGTGTCGTTTGTGAGTGAGTGGGTGAGAGGGTGAGAGTGAGAGATAGTACTAGC